AAAAAGAAAAAAGTCCTTTTGCTGTGTGGGGGGGGGGGCGGAAAGGGGAAAAAACCGGGAAGTTTGGTGGTGGAAAGTTTCGTGCCTGCAAGGCGTTATTTAGTGCCCGGCTGGGGAGGGGGTTTGGGGGGGGGCCGAGGGCCTACCGGGAAAAAAGGGGGGGGGCAGCCAATTTCGCGTGCGTCGGACTGCCACCCTCTGTATGCTGCTGCCACGGACTTTGGGGGCTAACACCCACGGCCGCGTCCTGCGACCCCTCCTTGGCTTCACCCTGGTTCCCTGCTGTTGTGCTCCCATTTGGTAAGCCGTAAACAAGTGTGACGCGGTGAATGGATGCGTCAATGTATGGTAATTCAGTTGCATGCCTCTTTCTCCGTTTATTTAGGTACCATAAGGGACTACGATTGCCATTGGCGGTCCGGAGTGCAATATCTACACGTGTTGTGGTATGGATCCCCCATACAGATTTGAGATTACTCTACAGGGTAGTGTGTCCTTTCGACGCAGCCCGGCATCAACGCTAAAAACTCAGTTGATTCCATGCTGCTGCTGTGCAGTTCAGCTGTTTCGGTTCCCGGACCTTTTCCCTTTTTATTTTTATTTTTATTTTTATTTTTTTTTTTTTGTGTTTCTGACAGATTGACATGGCCCAACTCCTTCCTCTACGCAGATGGTACATGGCGCATGAGAATAGTTCTGTGGCAGTTAGGGAGAGTCTTGGGATCTTTTCCCATTTGGCACAGCTGCACGCAGGGCAAGCCATAATCCCGCGTTCCGAGCGTATCACATTGTTCAATCGAGCCTCGAACGCGGTGGTATTTTATTTGTTTCATTCTTTACACGCTCCTGCCACACAGCGTGCCTCCTACTACCGGCCACATATATCACTTCAGTCTACCTCCACAGTGCACACGCACGCCAGCCAGAGCTGAGAGGGGGTTGGGTGGGCTTTGGCTTCAACGTTCTGCTGTGTGTCGGGAGACAATAGGGGGAGGGAAGAGTAATTCTTTTTTTTTTTTTCTTCTTCTTTTTTTTTCTTTTCTTTTCTTTGAATTCTCTTATTCACTGCCCCGCTGAAGAGGCCCTACAACCCATCGGAGACTCATGATTGCAAAATAATAAGCAGCATCTCCTTCATAATGCGGGGTTGGCTGGCTGGCTGGCTGGCTGGCTGGGCTTCAATCCCTCCTTTTGCCCCCCATTTGCCTCACCTGTTGCTCCCAATTGCAGCCGCCAACACATCCGTTGCTTTTCCCTCTCTGCCCCTCCTTGCGCCTCTTAAATGAGCCGGTCCGTATACGGGGTTCCAACCCCTCTATACAAATGTAGAGCGTGACTGGTTTGATCAATCAACCAAACAGCTTAAAATATTGCCACACCGCAACCCAACTGGCAAAATGGAAATCACTGTAAACAGCCCACTTCACACCCGCTCCCTGCGGTTTACACCAATGACATTTGCATTACCCTCATCAACAAAAAAAAAAAAAAAAAAAAAAAAAAAAAAAAAAAAAAAAAAGCGCTTATGGATGTCTATTCATGTATGTGTATTACGCACAGGGGAAAAATAATTTTGCTCTTTCTCTCAATGGTTCGTTTCATTATCCATTTCATTTTCGTCTTTGATTTTATGCTGGCTCCCTCTTGCTTTCTTGTATCTGTTTGCAAACAGTAATGCTTCATCTCCTCTGCTCTATTTGTAGAGTCTTCTCCCACACTTTCCAACCCCCCCCCCCCCCCCCCCCCCCGGTTTCAATCAAGGTTTCCAATCAAACTGGATTTTACGTATTTCTCCTGCTGAGGGGCATTTTTTATGATTACACTCAATACTGCTACTGCAACTATACGCTAGTACGCACCGTTTTAAAGACCATAGCCACCGGTCTTATTAATATGTCCAAAATAACCCTTGGAGGAAAAGCATGGATCAATGGGATGGGACGGGCAGTCTGGCAAAAAAGTGGAGCTGACTAAATCTCCCAGCAACCATCCGCTGGGGACCGCAGGTCAAACTCCCGGCCACCCCCTAAAGAATCAAGGGGCAGGATCCATGTTCGCTTGAATTTCATGATGTGATTTGAATGCTGATGCTGACGCTGACGTTGAGGTGGATTGTTGGTGTTGGAGGTGTTGATGATAGCAGCGATGCCATGATAAACGACTGGAATTGCCAGATCTTATGCACATATATGGGGGTATTGGGATATCTGTATGTGTGTACACACAGTATCTCTGGATCAAAAGGGACAACGCTCATTGTATTTTGTGTGCAGACAAGGGGGAAAGAATATCACGGAGTCATCCGCGTATAATTTACCACTTTCTTGGAGGTCCCCAATAATGGATGGTATTTCTGCTAACTATACATTGGCTTACCAGTTTACAGATGGTCCCTTGGCGCCCCAGTTCCCCTTTCTTCCTGTCATGTTGTGCGAGTCCAGTTCGCCTCACGCCTAAAGTAGCAAAAGATGGAAAACGCATCTTCCCAAGCTGCTGTTTTTGGAAATTCGCGATATTGATGGGATTCTTCTTAAAGTCCTCAACCCACCAGCCACGAGGATCTGAGGCCCCTTTCTCAAACTATTGTACTCTGTGCTACACAATTCCTTAGCAACACAGGGATACTCCATGGCCCAAGTCTCGGCACTGTAAAATAACGTAAGACACTCTCGCGTCGTCTCACATGAGGCATCACATAATTTTGGAATGGGCATTGGAATTCTCATTTTTAGCATCAGGACTTTCATCATTCACTCCCGCCGATCGTGATATTGAACCAGAACGACCAGGACACATTTTGACTCTAAGCCTTCAGGCCGGCATATTATTGAGTTTACACCATCTCTCCCTGAGTCTCAACGATTCGATCGCCTAACGCCAGGAACCGAATGAAAATCTTTAACCTAGACTATATCCGTTGGAAATCTGCTCCCTGTTGACCGACTTCTGCTAAATCTTCATCGTCAGCAGTAGCAGCAGCAGCAGCAGCACCGAAGCAAACTGGTGGTGGCCAAATATCATCCCGCTACTGGAAGATCATTGGCATACAGCGACCTGCACCAACCGCCTCGCCTCGACCTCTGCCTTTATTACTTGCTAGTTGCTGTTGTATATTATTTTTCAACCTGCCGCCCTGCGTATCCCACTTCTTCTTCTTCTTCCTTTTCTGCTTCTTCTTCTTCTGCTTCTCCTCAAAATGCGATGGTTGACGCTGGGCCCAGACCAATATAAGGGCCATACGACAATGCCATTGTGGATGGTTTTGAAACTTTACAGTTTCCCAATTTCTCCTTCTCTAACTGAGCCATAAGAAGTTAGAGAAAGACCCACCAACGGTCCAATAATCCATCTACGGTTGGCATCATTTCATCTGGCAGGACGGAGATCTGCAACCGCGAATAACAATAATATTATTATTACAACGCACACTCAAAAGAGTCAAATGTAAAAAGAAGGTTTTGTTGCTCTACTCTCCCCCCCTCGCTCCGGCCGGTTTTCCGTCCCTCCGTCCCTTCCTCCCTCCCGTCTGCCGAACCAGGATCTCGCCCAAGTTAGTTAGCTACGGCAAGGGTCAATCAATCCCGGCAACAATTAGGAGAGGAGGACAGGTCTAGCAATTTATTCTTCCCAGTTCAGGGGTGACGCCATGTTGTTTCTATTAAAACCTCCCACCATAACAGTTTGAAGTTGAAAAACCATATGGATATTCTGCTCACAAGCCTCCTCCCTCTCTAGATTATTTCTAACGTAGTATCCGAGGAACACTAAGAAGCAATCCCCCGCGGGGCAAGAACTGGATCCTCAGTTCTGAACACTGATTCAATAACTGCGTAATGAATAATGGACGCCTCATGAACACACCGCATCAACATCAACTCCGACCGAAACCCCACCCTCGTGAGGGTAGTAGTTATAACTACACTACCTTACTAACAATCCAAGGCACATCCGACAACCATCAACTACAAGCCAGACGGGAATAAGTTGCCGAGCCTTCACCGCCTTGAGGATGGAATGCTCGTGCTATTGCTGACTTGATGAGATTTTTAAGAAAGAGATGAAAGAGGGAAGAAGTGCGGATTAATGCACCTATGGCTGACAGGACAAAACAATGATCCTCTTGACAGATTAGGATGTGTGAATGAAGAATACGACGAAAAGTAAACGGATTGTGATGATGAAAGGACTGAATGAACTTTGCTATTGGCGAGTCCAAACTGCATCACGCAGCCTATGTGTAACGATCTGAAATTTTTATTCCTCGAGAGCTATCATCTCGCATTTCCGTTCTATCAATTGTAGTCGATTCTCCTGTTTCTATTCGTTGGGTATTAATTGCAGACTTGAATAATCACATTCTTCTCACAATTGAACTTTCTTTCAATAAAAAAAAAAAAAAAAAAAAAAAAAAAAAAGAAAAATTCTGAAGTCACACAAAAATCCTTCAGATCAAACCCCCACCAGCCCAACCAGCCCACCAAGCCCCACCAAGCCCACCTCAAGGCTAGAGCCAAACAACGACCCTTCACACAAACTTCAAGCTAACTAAACCACACTCAACTTCCACCTAAAATCCAACTCGCCCGGCCCCAAAACCCCACCAGCACCACTAAAGGATTCAGGAACAAGTTCCCCGGGAAACCAGTCTTAGAAACTCGTTCAATGGATTCCCTTCTCTGGGCTTGAACGGCAGTGAAAGCCGGCAGAGACTCTGTTCTGGACCATTTGATGGTTGTCACTTTGAACCCGTAACATGGCTTGCATTCCTTTGCCTTAGTTTAGTCGTGGGCTTGAGGGCATTGGGCATTGGGGCGGTAGTTTTAGTTTTAGTTTTTTTTTTTTTTTTAGTTTTTTTTTTTTTTTTCGGGTTGAACCAGAACAAACCATGTGAATGGCGTTAACGGCTTGCGTGTCCTGTCGGATCAGAATGATAGAGCGGTGGAGTGATACGGAAGGAGAAGATCATGAGGTTTTTTTTTTTTTTTTTTTTTTTTTTTTTTTTTAATTTTCCTGCGAATATTTAATACATTCTGCTGTCAGATATCTTTCAGGGTTGTTTGAGAATGATGTTCACCCTATCTATATTTGCGGGCGACGCTCTTCAAAACTAGAAATGCAGAATTCCTAAGTCTTAAACAAATATATCTCCTCCGATATAACTCTCAGACTTGGTCAAATAATAAAGTTAAGATGCCTATACAGTGTAACAGCTTGGACGATGGCCAAACCCAGAGTTGGAAAAGGATGAAAAGCCTTTTAAGGCTTCACCTGTCCCTTCTTAACTAAAATGAACTGCTCTTGCGATAGCAACAGAACTCCTTTTAACTATTAAGCATGGAAAAGAGAAGAGGAACGTGAATCGTGCTTCGCAATGCTGGCCATGAATGGGTGACGTGAGAGGATCTCCCCTTTAAACAAATGGCTGAGGAACCAAAGAGATTCAATGAGTGATGAACAGTTCAAAACAGTCTTAAGAATATATATATCTTGAGATTCTGATAAATTAGAGCGAGAGAAATTGACACCATCGGACGTAGCTGCCCCTATTAGTGAACCGGGAAAATTCCCCTGGGCTTTGCCTCCTGTTTTGGAGCCCCATCCTGCTACCTCAACCATTTCATCAATCATAACCATCAGGGCTCAGTTGTTGCGGTCTCATGGAAAGAAGTGTACCTAAGATTCATCTTAAACTTTTACGTAGAAGCCTGGACCGGCCCGGGGTTCAAAGCACCCAGGAATGCAAACGGAGTGACAAGTGACTTACACCGAAGAGATATTAGATTGCTATCTTTAATGCCAAACGACCGTAGAGTTTTCTCATTTTCTTAAGCTGGAAAAGTTTTGGGCCGCAGGAGTCCAACATTTCCTTTGAAGCGCGCTCTCCGGTGGCCTCCCTAAAGAGTTTTCTGACTTGCACAAGTCTCCAGAAAGCCTCGTTCTTCCTCGTGTTAATATAAAACTGGATAGTTGCAGTATTCGACCGAGGACGGGAAACTTCATTCTGGCCAGAGATCCAATGGAAAAACCAGACCATACTTACCAAGGCATACTAACCACTTCGTTTGCATTGACGACACTCATCGTAGACTCTGAGAGAGTGTCAACTATGCCAGCGTAAAAAATAATATATAAATATAAATAAAAATAAAATAAAAATTTAAAAAAATAAAAATTTAAAAAAATAAAAAAAAATCTGTATGAAGGAAGCAAAATTTAAGAAGCTTGCGTTGTGTCTACCGTGAAATTGTCGAATTTTGGGAAAAGGAAGTCATTTTGAGTTTCATTGCGCATTGTAAAACTCTCTCCCCTGCATCAAGAAGTGGCTAATGGGCAGAGAGGGACATAAAACATCAATCCACGTATACCATACATAGGTATGCGTAATAACTTCAGCATAAGATTCGTCGGTCTAGTCCCGGACGTGGTTATATGTCCCCGGGAACAAGATATTGTATTTGCTGTTGAAAAGAACTGTCCTCCGGCAGAACGGCGGAAGAAGGAGGGGCTGGTGGAGCGGGGCGGAGCGGAAAAGAACGACATTTCGTCAACGAATCAAAAAAACCAGCCGTGGTTTATCGGATAAAGCGCAAATCATCATCAAACCACCACGTATGTTGACGGGTGGCTATCGGATTACATGTACATATTTTCCATAAACATATTTGTCAAACATGCATTCTCCAGCAACGGGATCATTTTCGTGGCCTGGAATAGACTGCTGGCTGGAGGATCCACGGTGTTAAACTAAAGCATGTTACTATAATGTTCTGGAAGTTCCTCTTCGATTAAAAGTGAAAGTTACGATTGAGATTAGGTTCAGCCACAGGAACCCACTGTTTCAGATCCAGGGTAACAATACCCCTTTTTTCTGATTGCAACTCGTATTTGATATGCATCTAGGCCAGAAGCACAAACACTTACTTTTCCAATTAACAGGAAACGGCCTGCTTGGCCTGTCACTCTATTCCAAAATCGCCTACCCGATACTTAAAAGTTGAAAACATACCCCAGAAAGTAAGCGAGACAGAACAGGGGCAGGGGGAAAGGAGGGGCAAAGGAGGGGCAAGGGGAGGGGTAAGGGGAGGGGAAGGCTAAGATTTCTCCGCTGAATCACGTCACATCGCAGAATACTTGCTGATACAGTAGTAGAGACTAAGGAAGCCATGAAAACTTTGAAATGCGGATAGGGAAGGGTCTATTTTCTTACTCTGGTGAAATAACGTTTAACCCCGAAATCACTCTCTTGCGGGGTTTAGTCTGCCTCGGGCTACCCAGCGAGCCTTTCGAGGGAATATAAATTCTCTTTCCGAGTCATATCTTAGCAGTACCTGATCGCGCATTTCCGGTTACAACTCGTGAACAACACAGGTTGCCCGTTCTCACTAGCTTCTCAGGAAGGGCAAGACATCACATAGCCATACTATGTTCTCTCAGGTTTGTGGAGGCTTTGGGTACAGATATCAAATGGTGACTTTATACCCTCAACCCCCGGTACAAGTTCTAATGAACACAGCATTCATAGAATATATGAGCGGTCTCCTAGCTAAATTTCACAACAACAGCAGCAGCAACAACAACAACAACAAAAACAAGTTATTTTGCGAACTCGCACGTTCCTAAATGCCATCAATCTTCTCGCCGAGATTTCTTGCCGAGAGGGTTGACACACTTGGCAAGTGGTACAAATGCTCCAGGATATTGTGTCGCCCAAACAACGGCAATTGCATTCCGTTTAATCCTATAAATGTTCCTGAGGATATCGCCATGCTGGTAAACACCCAAAAGGCTATTCTCAAACAGAAATTTTCACCCATGACGGGCGTGCTGTCAAATAGGAATATAAGAGAATGATTATGGAACATGACTGGATTGAACTAAAGATCTTCAGCCCTGACCTTCTGCATTCGTCTCGAGTTGCTGCGTGATGATGAGGTACACATAAAGCCTTCTGATGGAATAGGACTCTGTGTTGGGAGTCAACATACAACTGCAGAATGGGGAAGTGTGAAAAACTTAAAAGCCAAGTCAGAGGAAGATTGTCAAGAAGAATCTTCTCAGATCGATGTACAGAACATGCCGTATACATTGCCCCGCAAAATTGTATCCTATTCACCTTTCCGTGTATACTGTTCTATGAGGTGGTACGTATTGATAGGGTATGGATAGACACTACTAGCCTTATCTTCCTCAACTTGAGCGTTTGGCTAGCAGCTTCTCATCATTCTATGATCATGGAATATTGACAAGCAAGAAGTTGGCCATTCAGCTCTTCCGCGCGATGCATTGATATAGATTGCTCGAGATCTCGTGCTGCAAGCGCTATAATGTGAGTATTCCATTTACCTTCAATCTTAAGTAAGGTATATGAAATAGTTAAATAAGATCGGTCGCTATAGGAAAGATTAACAACCCAGTCATCCAAGAGAGTGGAAGGTTTTCAGGAGTTGGACTTCTGCATTGAAACCGGCTTCGAGAATAGTAAGGCTAGGTGTTTGAGCTGTAAAAAGAAATTGTGCCATCCGAGGCTCATTGACATCTCTAATCAAGAACTCAAGCTAGCTTGATAGTATGATAAGTGGTCAAACGTAGAATTTTATCATTACTGATTCCAAATCCTGCATCACAGCTTCTGACAAAGAATGGTATCAAATCGGTGTTTCTAGATACTGATTTATCATGGGCTGACTATCAATATCAAGCCGTGGTGCCTTGATAAGTCTCATACGGGTTTGGTCTCATTTGTAATCCTAAGACTGATTTTGCCCATCCTGCTTCTTGGACCGTGAATTCTTGGATGGTGTGTTCCAGGGAGGGCTGTGTTCCTCTCAAGCCGTTTTGGTCACTAGAGGTGTTGACGCTATGCAAGCAAAATTCAGTCCTCCAGAATGGGAGAGGATGTAGGCTGTTGTCTTGCAAACAGAGAGCTTATTTTTGCTACTCTGATTGAAGAGCTCATTAAGCAAACACTCAGCTGGACGTCAATAATGAATTAGACTCATCTCAATTCCACAAATCCAGTTTTGACTCCTACTAGCCAGGTGTTTCCCAATCAGCTAAATCCGTCAACAACGCCATATACTAGAGATATTTGTTTGACATATTTTTTTTTAGGTAGAAAGCTGGCCGAACTTTGAACTTCAGCTGCATTGACAACGGGATTATTGGACACATAACGTGATTCCAACGTCAGTTTCCTAGAGGCAAGAGAAAGCGATGTATCTCTTTTCTGGAAGGGTTTCTACCCGATCATGATGGGTTTTGTGTTGAATGTGAGGGTGATTTTTTCAGACCTGTGTTTCGTGTTTCTGTGGATCATAATGGATGAGGTTGGGGATTCAGGGGTTGAGAATGTAAAACCAGTCACATGCGGCTGATGCCAGCTGCCAATCAATCACTTGATGATGCGAGCTCAAGCACAGAAACAAATCAGTGAGAATGACAGATATAAAAACCATTTTTTTTTTGCTGCCTTTTGATGACGAGACCTGTCCAAATGCTGTCCTTCACCGTCCCCATGGATTGCACCACCCATGCCAGCTCTCGGGAGAGCGTAATGGTTGGCTTCCATCTTCAGTTCTTCATTTCTCAACTCCCTGTCCACCGCGGAATGAATGAAGAGAAAAAGAGGTACAAGCATGACGAGCATCAAACTCAGAGCTCCAAAAATTTAATAACTATAGTAATGGACAATATAATGACCCAACCAATCGACTTACCGGACAGAGCTTGGCAACCGTCTAAGCTGCTAGACCGATCTTCCTGGACATAGAGTACATAGCTCTATACAAGACGTGTGTAAGAAATCTCATTCGCCATTCAGGAACCAGGGAACATTGCTTAGGCAGCCTGATGTTAGTGTGCAATGGTGCTGATGGTTCTTGGGGTATTCTATTACCACCGTATCGTTGTTCTCGGCACATGTGCAGAGAGAGGTTACATTTTTTGAGTTTTCCAAAGTTTTGATGAATATGACGAGGATAAAGCGTTGAGATGAGGTTGAGTACCCTTGCTAAAGCAAGTGAGGGAAGGAAAGAAAATGCGAATTAGAGTAACAGAAAGGAAATGATAAAGGCAATGATGCAACGCTTTACGCACAGCCGATGCGTCCCCGGAAAATTTATCGCAACTTCTGGTGGCTGTGCTGCAGTTGGGCGGAAATATTCGACATACTTCTGTTCAAGGATTAAGGAGCCATCAACCAACTCCTGTGGATTCACCATATTTCCTCCCGAAAATGACATGTGTCTACATATGACTGCACACAAAGGACAGGAATCCTGAAATTTCGGCTACGGAGTATTTGAGAATTACCCAGGAAAAATGGAGGACCGTTTGGGAGACAAATTGCTTAGTTTTATTGTCGCGGAGAAACTGCATAAACGGACATTCACTCTTTTGAAATTCTGATATTCCCCGGGTATAAACGTTCTCACAGCCGAAGAATTCAAGGATGCAAGGGATGCCTATCTACCCGGAAAGCTTTCCGGCCCTGGTTCTTGTTTTCACACCTAACGAAAACTGTTCAACAAACGACCAGACAAACAAAAGCGGGCGACATTCCCCGCCTCCCGCTCTAACAGGGGTTTCTGTCCTACGCATGGAGTCAGGATCAAACACAGGTACATCCTTTTGCGGACATTCGTATTATTATTCTCGGAGATCACAACCTATATACCATGTCCTCAGCAGCAGTATTCTTGTTATCAGCATGCAATTAGCCTCAGAAATGGATTTCGAATCCCCTTGCAAAATCTCCGCAACATCCTCAGCCAGCCATGTGCAGGTATCCACAGTAGCTCCGAAGGGTGGGGCTCTAGAGGCGAGCGACACGTGAAGGTTGTGCATGGTCTTGATCGTTAACCAGTTATTCAATGAATTCTCACCGCGAACTTTGCTCATATGTCAATTGTGGAGAGGTCGAGACGACATTTCAACTTACTTCCATCTGGGGAAATTTTTAAGCGATGATACTGTGCGTCGGGGTGGGAAGGTGTCATTACTCAGGGGTGCCCGGCCTGCATGCTGCGAAGAGAATCAAAATTTTTAGATCATGGTGGGAGAATAGAGAGTGGACATGGGAATACAAACAAACGCAAAGGCTACAATCAATTGTGGGACTCACACTCCGCCATCCCATCTCCCTACCCACGTCCGGAGTACTCCGTATTTCATATGATATATCCCCGTATTCCGAGGAATATGTCTGCAATCGAGAAAGCACAAACGCACTCCCGCACACCTAAAACCGAACGGGGATGATGCAACTCGGCTGTTCGATGCTTAATTCAAAAATTCGTATTAATCAGGAATTTCCTCTTGATCCAATCAGACCAGCCGCGCTGCACATCTGCCGTCTTGCATACATGCATGCATGAGTTGCGTCGCTGAGCAGAATGCTGAGTCGCCGTTGGAGACGAATGTTTCGAGCTTTTCGACTCTCGAGTCCGAGGTCAACAACCCAACTGCTCAACGGGGTGCAAGCCCTTTAAGCACTGTTAAGTATACCTTGAATACAGGGCAACGTGTATAGTAGTATATGTGGGAAGGGAAATGATGTTGGTTTCACGTAGCAATCCATGCCAATTTAACACCACTTTCCATCCATAGAAATTTAGTAGATTGATAAGAAAGCTTACCTCTTTATTACGCAAATCAGGTTTCCCCATCTTTCTTCCAACACCATGCGAACTTCCCCCTTCAAGTTTCCCTGGGGAGCGGGGATAAAGGAGCAGAAATTCTGTGCGGAGTTATATGGTTTCTTTGCATGCGTACACGTGTATGGGGATTTGTGGATAACTGACAAAGGTTGTAGGGAGATATAAGAATTTATCCATTTGCTTTCTATCTAAACTTTCTTCTCCACGCCCCTCTCTCAACCAAATAATGAATATTAACTTAGCAGGATCTTGTTTTGGCCGATGGCGGGAGTTAAACTTTTGAAAAGTCCAAAATGAGATAGAAGTGGGCTTTTGATTCCCTAGATAATGAAGGTGAACAAACGCACAAATGAAAGGATGGAGAGTGTAAAGAATCTATTTGTGGGGGAGTGGGGGAAATGGAGCAACAGCACACGGTAGTTATATAATAACTACGGTTAGGTGTGTATGCGCGATGTACGGAGTATATCGGTTGTTTGATCGATGCTGTGAGGTAGTAACCTTGGAGGGCTTGTCCTGTTTCCATTGCATTTTCTAAATCTTAATCTCCCTTGTGATTCCAGGGGAATCCCTCTAGCATTCCATGGAAGGTTTCATATGTGAATTCTCGATGAAATGGCTCGTTCCATTTTACACTTCGTGCACGGGATGGAGGCATACATCTTACAAACAGAAACATAAATGTCTTTCTCGAGAGGACAGACAATGTGAGATATATTAATTGTCAGGCATCTTAGATAGGTAGTTTAGGGCTGACAGATATAGTTAGATGAAGCTCAGAGAGGGTGACATTAACTGAATATTTAATTGGGTATATGATTTTAAAAGCTGGAATTCGGTCCTCATTGGAAGCTTGTGATATATTATGTTTCATGTTATACTTATCTTGAATAAAGTGTTAGGCAGTTGTTGTGTTCGTTGATATTGTTCTTGCGGGTTTGGCATAGTGATAGTATTATTTTATTGACGTTTGATGCAGAGATGGAGTAGGGAGGCCGTTTAGTTCTCCATGGCAGGGAGAGCGTCGCATGTATATAACCTTCGAACGTAGGAGTATACTTCGATAGCCCAAGGGAGCGGGGCAATTGGCTTTTCTTATCTTTTCTTTTTCTTTTTCTTTTTCTGTGAATTGTCTAATCTTCTTTAGTTGCCTCAGACTCCATCTCCAAATCTTAACTCTAACTTCCTCCAAGCAAGTTGATTATTTGATTCTATGGCCCAAGCACGGCAGTCGAGAGTATTCCGTCGTAGTGGTGAGTTATTTTCCTGGTGCATGCATAATTTGTTTTTCTTCTGCCATGAGGCACAATGAGAGTCCACTTGGAAGGGTTCTAGAATTCCAGATGATCCTTGGATGTCTTCTTTCCTTTCCTTGTTACTCCTAGCTCATGTGTCGAAGCAGCTAACGGAGTAATAGTCCGGATTGGCGGGACGGCTATGGGGTAGTTAGTGGAATTGACCAATGTTAGGCAACATGCATTCGAGGTGGTTTGTGGAGACTCAGGGCTGGGAGTGACGCCGTCCGTGAGGGTGGCCCAGCCATCTTTTGGAGGCTCGTGATAGGTGTAGTTATGGAGTAGCTAGCTGATCATGTCAGGAGTGATGAACTGATGGTGTGCGAGTGGCTGGGCGGACGATTAGCGATTAAGTTTCGATGGTGAGATAGATGCTTTGATGGTGTAGGCGGCAATCGCACTGATATGAACAGTGACAAAACTCTAGACATTCTCCTAAGATTTGAGGCAAGATCAAGTACGAAAAGCGGAACCTGTAATGAGATTGTAAAATGTTCCTTGTCGGGTCAAGGTAGAATCCAAACAGTTGTGATTTTTATTTTTATTTTTTATTATTTTTTCTTCTTCTTCTTCCGACTCAAAGAGTCAAGCCTCAAGGTTCACTCACCCAGAAAGCTGAAGCTGGGCAGCCGAGTTCCAACGGGAGTGCAGCACAGGAAGATCAGTGATGAATCTGGAGAATGGCATTAAGACATTCTGACGCCTTTTTTGGCTGATAGGATGCAGAAGGGACTTTTTTTTTAACTTTTTGGGAGTTCTTGCATAGGCAGGTTAAAAGGGGGGGATGGCTGGAGTTCTGGGGATTGAAGCAAGGGTTATTTTCGACCCAAGGAACAAACGATAGGATAACGGCAAAAGAAAGAAAAGTTCTGCAGTCTGCTTGAACCGGGATGTTTTTGCATCCGGTGATAAGTTGTGGAAAGCGAAATATGGAACTGGAACCCTGGGAATGCGTGGAGACTGCCCAGGTGTCTCCGGAAATAACTAAAGCATATCATGGGAGTCCGGTACGGTAATTTGCTGCTCCGTGGGCGTAAGCCCTTTTTGTATGTTATCCACAAGCATGCTACAAGTTGCTTTGGTCGCCCTTTCATGCTTGAAACATTGCGCTGCTTGGTACTGAGGGGGCTCAGCTGTATGACACTGAAGGGGCACATCAGATAACATCAAAGTAACATCAGAGTCATTCTGATGCAGCAGCTTCTTGATGTGATCAGGATTACAGTTGAACATGAAAGAAATTTAAACGTCAGCTCTGAAGGAAGCACCAGGGAAGTAGTTGAATAATAGTCCGTAGTATTGCAGATTGTTGTTCACTGCCAGATGGATCTGTTCTGTGCTGGTGCGGACACTTCCATAACTACCACAGAATGGCTTGTAATAATTCTCTGTCGAGGGATATATGTAATATGGGTATACAGTCTGTACGACAGCGTACATATCTGGGCCCGAATGGACGTGGTAACACCTTGATATACACACCTGAGTTCCCACCTTATCCCCACCATTTCCCTCCCGTGTCCCAGCTTTTCCCACCCACGCCCCACTGACCACACCGGCCAAGGCAGCTGGAGTAAGCCTGGGATTGTAACTAGTATTCTTCTGCCTGAAATGACGGTCGGTACATACAGATAGAAGTAATCTCCAGTACATGTATGTTACCAGGGCTCACCTTAACTAGTTAGTTCTCTAACTGACTTAGCTAGTTACCTGTCGACTAACTAACTCCACCACAGAGCGAAATTCCCTGGGTTCTAAGACGCAACTAGTATGTCATCAATTTGGGATGAATATGCAGAAACTCTATATAGAGAAAGGATTGAGCTTAAGTCTTCTCAATTACTGAGGCTGCATGTCTATTTAAATATATTTTATATCATTTTTCATTATTGAGCATATTAATGATATGGAAATCTAAGCTAACTACATACAAATTCATATAGGAATTAGTTAACTGGAGACTGAAGAGAAATTTATGTATATTTTGTTAAGTTGATATGAAACTAAGTTTTCAACTTACTAGTTATACTAAACTTCACTTAATAGTCTTTGTCCTCAGTCTTAGCATCATTCTCATGAGTTTCACGGTAACTGTGATTCTCATGAACATAGAAGAACAACTAGTGTAACTTAAACTAAATTGTTCAGTTGTTGCTGTGTAGATAATTCAGAGTGCAATCTATCTAGTTGAAAAGTAGCAATTTTATCTTTCGCTTGATAAGAATTACGCAGTGGTGGATTACGTTACCCTTCCTCCCACCAGGCTCATCTCATCCCAGCTCGTCTCATCTCGCTCCCTCCGTCTCCTCTTCAAACTTCAAACCTCTCTCTCACTCTCCATCCCAATATCATCAAACCCTCGTTTCTCTTTTCTCTCATACCCCACCAATCTCATTTCTGTCGCTGTCCTCGACATCCCTCTTCCTCTTCTCAGTTGTCCGCTGTGTCCGTGTCTGGCCTGTTGAACCAAAACCCTTCCCGCTCATCTATCAATCTTTCACACAACCCTCGCAAACCTTTTCTCCCGACCTCGTCCCGGGCCTGTAAACATCTGCTCTTCAATCCCACTCATTTCTTTCTCGCTACCAGCCAGTCGCACAATCCCGTTGAAATAAGAAGAATCACGAAGATCCACTACTTTCATTATTTATTGATATCTCTCCTGGCCCAAACCCCAACAGTGCTGCCATCCATCCCCTTCCAGATCTGGCCACTTTCGAGTCCAGAGGGACTACCATCAGAGCCACCCCTCTTATCAGGACCACCACAGTTGTCTGCCGTGGGCTTTATTTGTTGCCTCCTTGTATTTTTTTGTGTTTGTGTATGTGTGAGTGAGTGGGTGGTTGGTGACCTGCCGTCTCCCAGTTCCATCTTTGGTGTACTACTGCCAGACATTTTGGACCCGGCCCCCTCTTTCGTGGGTCGCTTTCGAACTATTTACCGGAAGATACATTTACAATTACATGTGCCTCCTCGATACCAACCGGAACTAAAGGGGAAAAAATATAAAATAAATTCAAAATATCAAAGAATCCAAAAAAAAAACCAAAATAGAAATAAGAGAACAAGAAAAAAAGGGAAAACGAGAGCAAGAAACCCAGTGATAACCAGGCCCGAGACTCCGTTTTCGCTTTCTTTATCAGCCGATAAGACTCCCACCAAATTCCAAAACCTGCACAACGAATGGTTTACGACAATGCGATAGAATATCCACTTCTTACTCTTCCAATTTTGGCCCCCAGAACCCTTTCCTTCCTCTCCTCCTCCAACCCCCTCTCCCATAAGAAGTATCAATCAAACCATGTATCTTTCTCGAAATGCTGTCCCACTGACGGTCAACTCGAAATCCGTTTTGAATGCGAAATCCGGCAATTTTGCCTCAGCTGCCTTTCACTACACTGAAGGCCAACCATCTTCCAACGACGACTCCCGGTGCCATTCCAACAACCAAACCTTCTCCCACACACACATGGCGACACTTCACGGAGGCGATGCATACAATACTACAAACAACAACGGGGGAGCTGAAGAAGGTTCGAAATGGCTTTATTTATTTCTATCCTTTTTTCATTATGTTATTATTATTTTAGGCTGACGGTGAATATAAGTAGCATACAACTCTCCCATAGAATCTCCACCCGCTCTATATGTTCGTGCTCTATATAACTACACTGCAGACGACCAGACAAGTTTGAGCTTCCGCCAGGGTGACATTATACAAGTGTTGAATCAGCTGGATACTGGATGGTGGGATGGTGTTATTGGTGATGTGCGTGGCTGGTTCCCAAGCAACTACTGTGCAGTTGTAACGGAACCAGATTCAATAGGCTTTGGCAGCCAATTTGGCCATGAGGGCGGCGACACCAGCGCTGAATCTGGAGCTGATGACTACGACGATGTGGACGATGATTTGGATTCTGAAGGAAACCCCAAAGACGATCAACCAATCCTCCTTCCCATTGAGGGTGTAAGAGGTTCAAAAGGCTCAGAACAGGAAGAAGCTGCCTTCTGGATCCCACAGGCCACTTCTGACGGACGACTATTCTACTTCAACACCTTGACTGGTCGAAGTACCGCAGAGCTTCCGCTGGAGACTCCCATATCTGCAACGGAGTCCGGCCCACGAGATCGGACAAATATATATCTTCCCGAGCAGACACGGGCCCCACCGGAAGTAATGGTTGGCGGCATCGACCGCGAGGAGGATGAGTACGATGGTTCGGGCTCAGAGGCTGAAGGAGAATCTTTGATCCGCTCCTCACACGGCTCCTCATCAAGACGACGGCGGTCGTTTATTTCCGACGGCATGTCCCCTGCCACTTCACTGGACTCGATGAATGCATCGCCCATAGCGAAACCATATTCTGAAACAAAGAACGCGCACCACCTACCACATCCCGCTAGTCAGTTGGTACCGAATAGTGGCATGTTTACGCGTGCTACCAATGGCCATTCCGCGCAAAGCGATCGCATTACTGCTCCCTCAATCTCATCAACTATTCCCCGCAATTTCCTCGATGATGCCTTGTCTACACCTATTACTTGGAATACCCTTGTGTCGAATATGCGCCAAGCCATTGACGCCTATAGGCGTGCGATCATGGAGGGCAATCGTGCTCAATATGTAAGGCTCGCTGAAGATATTTCAGACCACCTCAGGTTGTTACTTGCCGCGGGCTCAGACACGACTGATAACCATTCTGGAAATCCTTCTATCATCTCCACAAACAAACCATTATATCCCCATTTTCGTGATATGATGTCGAAATTCTCGAAGCTTGTGCTCTCCTCCCATATTGCCGCAGCTGATTGGCGAAGCCCAGATTCTGACGCTAAATGTTTGCAGGAGGCCGAAGGGGTTTTACATGGTGTCTACGGCTACGTTGAAGTCGCTAAGCAACAGCGAGGTGATGAGATTAGCCGTCTAGTGCCTGGATTTGTACATGGGAGTTCCTCCTTTGGTGGCCATTGGCAAAACAACAATGTGGGAACCAGGAATTCACCCGTATTTTTGGATCACGCGAACCGAGATATGGGCCATGAGCCAGCTATGGTGCTTGACTCAAGCATCATCGACAGAATCGAAAACCTCAAGAGCACTCTTGCTGCAAGCGCCCGGAGACTGGAAGACCAACTGGTTCTCTCAGAAAAGACTGTTACCTCCAGAGTGCACCTGGCCATTTCAGACGCTGTGTGCGCTGCTGGAACTAAAGTCGTCGAATGCTTTCAACCCTGGATGTCGCTTGTGGAATCCATCGACCTTGCTCCTCTCGATCGCAGTTCCCAGAACCCCCAGCTAGTCGACTTTAGCTTCCAGAAACAACGGGCATATGATGGCGTTGCTGATTTGGTGCTTAGTTGCCAAGCCGTTTCTGCGCCTCTGGGTGATGAGTGGTCAGAACTAAGAGGGGATACACTTGAAACTCGATTGGCTAGTGTGAGATGTGTCTGCCGCCAACTACAAAATTACATGACCCAAATCGGTTTCTCCTTGACTCTACTACTCGAACAAGCTCCTTCGGAGCCAACAATAACTCGAGATGTTGGGACATCATCCAAGGTTCCGTCGGGATCTATTGGAGTGCCCTCGTCATATACCCCAGCTGAGAGACAGCCGGTCAAAACTCGAGCAAATATCGACAAGGCGCAGCGATTCTTCGGAGACACTATCCCCACTGAACCAGCGAACCCTTGGTTCTTAAACATTGATCATGAATCAGAGGTTTTCTATGACAACAAGGGAGATGTACCGACACTCAAATGTGGTACGCTGGCTGGACTGGTGGAACATCTTACCCGACATGACAAATTGGACACGTCTTTTAACGCTACTTTCCTTCTAACATATCGCTCCTTTACAACTGCATCTGAGTTATTCGAAATGCTCGTACACCGCTTCACCTTGCAGCCACCGTATGGTCTGGACCAAGCAGACCTCCAAATCTGGACAGAACAAAAACAAATCCCAATCCGCATTCGCGTCGTTAACATCATGAAAAACTGGTTTGAGAATTACTGGATGGAGCCTAACGACGATGCGAACTCACGCCTCTTGCAACGCGTATACGCATTTGTCAAGGACTCCGTTTCTAAAACGAAAACACCCGGTTGCCAGCAACTACTCAGCCTGATTGATCAACGCATGCGTGGTCAAGACACCTCAGCAAAACGCATGGTTCCCACCATCAGCGCCAACGCGCCCCCGTCCATCGTCCCCAAGAACATGAAAAGGCTGAAATTCCTGGACATCGACCCTCTGGAGTTCGCGCGGCAGCTTACACTTGTTGAATCGCGGCTTTATGCAAAGATAAAGCCGACAGAGTGTCTGAATAAGACGTGGCAGAAGAAATTAGCGCCTGACGAGCCGGATCCTGCGGCGAATGTGAAAGCACTGATTTTGCATTCGAATCAGCTGACGAATTGGGTTGCGGAGATGATTTTACATCAGCAGGACGTTAAGAGGAGAGTTGTTGTTATTAAGCATTTTGTTTTGATTGCTGATGTACGGCAGGCCCCTCCGTCTCCTAAAATAACGTTGCTCTATATAAGCTTACGCTAACTAATCTAGAAATGCCGCGCTATGAACAACTACTCAACACTGACGTCGATCATATCGGCTCTTGGTACAGCACCAATCCACCGATTGAGCCGAACATGGGCTCAAGTCAGCGCCAGGATATCAGCGATTCTAGAGAATCTGCGCCGGCTTATGGCTAGCACTAAAAATTTTGGGGAATACCGCGAGGCTCTGCATCTTGCTAACCCGCCCTGTATTCCATTTTTCGGTATCCTTTGACTCTCCTTCTCCTTGTTTTTCAGCTTTCAGACATGAGAAAATACCAATGCTATGTGGGGAACACCCTATTAACATCAAACCTGAAAATAGGCGTCTACCTAACAGACTTGACCTTTATCGAAGACGGAATCCCTTCCCTAACTCAATCGCATCTCATAAACTTCAATAAACGCGCCAAAACTGCAGAGGTCATCCGCGACATCCAACAGTACCAGAACGCACCCTACCTTTTTCACTCTGTGCCCGAGTTGCAGGATTACATGCTCAGCAACATGCAAGCGGCTGGCGATGTGCATGAGATGTACGACCGCAGTTTGGAGGTTGAGCCACGAGAGAGAGAGGATGAGAAAATTGCTAGGTATGGACGATTGAATGATGCTTCTGTTTTTGCATTGATGGGTTCTGGTTGAATTCCTTGTTTTAATAATAATACCTCACCACTCAACCTCCTCCCATGCGTGCCTACCCCGCCCAATAATTTCCTTTTCTACCCCTGCTACAGCTATTATACTTTTTAATTCCCTCTGTATTATTTTTATTTTTATTTTTATTTTTTTTAAGTCAGCGCCATGCAGCCCAGCCAAGCGGTGCTCTTGGAGATGAATCCATGGGTATCAACTCTGTTGGGCTGAGCTGGCACGTGCGCTGTTACAGCAATTCCATCCGACAAACCAAGCCAGTCACATGTTTAGGTGAAAGTCCTCAGGACGTGCTTGGCGGCGTAGGGAAACTTATAATCGAAAAAGGGCCAATGACAAGTACTGTTCACCCTATATTTGCATCTCAGATAATGGGCAGAAGAAGGCGTATGCTGTGCCCAGTGCCCAGACAAAAAATCTCTGATGCTTGAAATTTTTGCAAAGGCATAACTTATTCTTTCATGTTTTCTTTTCTTTCATTTTTTTCTTCTTTAGTTTTGATTTTCTTTTTCTTTGTCTCCCCCCTCCCCCCTCCCCCCCTACAAGGGTTTTCAAATCGACAAGTTTTAGATTTTGCTTATGGGGATGGATGGTTTAAATACTGGGTCTTTTGACTGACATTTTTCAACCACTTTTTGCGATTTTCGCGTAGATTGCTCTCCGAGTCGGGCTTCCTATAGCCCTTCCACCCAATCATAAGCATGGAGGTCTCTCGCGCTTACCTGCCATTTTATTCCCAAGAAAATGGATCCCAGTCGGGTTGCTTGCGGAAGAAAATTTTTTACGACAAACAACCGCCCCCACACTATCCGACATTTTACAGCGCACATGCACATATGCATACAATCATTCAAACAGACCCCATGCACCATTCCCTATCACAACTCTCTCCGTGCACTAGCACGACTTCGAATTGACGGTAGAGACCGGCCAATCTTTTATGTGGTGCGTCTTACGTGGGGCTAAGGGAAACAAGCCGAGATAAGGAAGCCGGCGGGATCAACCGGATCTTCAATGGATGGCGACATTATGTGTCAGTTAGTAAACGAATGTGACGATTTTTTTTTTAAAGAAAAACAAGAAGCAAAGAGTATCATTACCTTATTATTATCAGCGTTATTCGAGGGCGGGCTTGCCAATGGAGGCAGCAGGGCATGTTACAGAACAAAACAAAAGGGGTTGGATATCTCGCGCTCTGTCGCCCCGTGCTTTTGCGTGCTCTTGTGCTTAACCTTTCAGCTTGACGTTAAGCTACTTGGGACTAAAAGTTTTAACTTCAAACTTTCAGAAGTTTAAATCCGGCTACAGCAGAATATATTCGGGATATTTTGGATTTTCTTCTACTAAAAAAAGAAAAGGTTGCCACTGTCTCCGTGGGTTTGCCATTCTACCGAGAGAATGTGTAGCGTGGCGCGGAGTGGTGTGGCTGGTGTCGAGATCAGAGATGGCATGGATGGCACGCAAAAGAGGAGAAGAGGGAACCTATCATGGTAGACCACTTTCTCACATGCATGATGACAGACGCTGAAGGATGAATATGATGACGAATATGGCTGACATATTGCATCTGTACACCACTATTCGCTGTGTTTCCAATGTTTTCTTCTTTTTCTATCTCCTACTGAAATTCAACGCCGGAATTCATTGTTATCACCACAAACGCTCCTCGAGTGTCAACTATTTCACGCAGAGACGCTCCTCACCCTGCAAACGCTACATACGAACTGATTGGATCCCGAGCTCTTCGAGAACAAACCCACCCCTCTTTCCCGTGTCCAACCCGTGGTTAGAACCATGTGGCTTAAGTGGAGATGAGACTATCCTAACCCATAACCATTTCTGCAAGGGGTGCTGTATGGGTCTTGACTCTGCCATCCAATGTCGGATTTTCAAACGCGACCATATCGAAACGACATATATCTATCACCCCTATTATCCGTTTGCATATGTTATGCATAGTGCACGCTATCACAGCTCTGGTCATGCATGCAGAGCGAGGACGGCGAAGCAACAGCGGAAAAAGAAAAAACATCCGATGGAGCTTTTGTTCTTCAAATGAGAAGGCGAATGAGTTTCGTTGTTTAATTTTTATCTAACGATCTGGAGTATACATTTATACACACAATCAAGAGCGCTGTTGAGAAAAGAAAGAGAATGAAAATTTTATCTGTTTTACCAGATCTACAACGCATTGTTGAGTTCTCGATTTTTTTGGTTTTATTTTACGGCATCTAACATATGATATACACCACCTTACACGCAAGTTTTCAAAACACATTCGAACAAGCTATTTACTTTGTTTTACTTTGTTTATGATGGGGTAATGGATTTTGGTCTGGAGAGTAACGCCCCACAAGAAGGGTATACCAAACGTGGTGGGCAGGGTGGGAAGAATTGGGAAATTAAAAGTGGTGCCGTGGAGCCCCTGCAGGAGTGTTGACGGGAGGATCATAGCATGTGGGATGCAGGAAGATATTATAAGTTTTTTTGTTTTGCTCTTCTCTTCTCGTTTTACATCTCCTTGCCTGATGTTTCTGGCTAGGGTATTTATTTTTTTTCCCTCTCTCTCAAATTATCATGTGGAATGATGGCGGATGAACATCAATGTTTTGTGTTTTACTATGGTTTAACGTGTTTGCTATGCTGTCTCCTGTTAATTTTAAGTTTTCTAAACGAACTTTGGGCAAGATGGAATGTGATGTGGAGTTTCAAATGAAAATGATTCTTTTTCATTTTTTTTCCTTTTTTTTAACCCCACTTTTTCCTTTAGCCTGGAAACCCCGTAGCTGGGGAATATGCACGGGCGTATAATAGCAGGTTTCCGTGCCGGTTGATGAGGTTTTAACAAGGCGTCGAGAGCGCACCACTGCATGATGATTGAGGTTCTACCTCGACACAATGGTTCCACATGAAGGGGGAGCCGCGGTCGAGACTCTACTGCGGGATTAAACAACCGGTGAATTGAACATATGAAGCTTCGAAAACTCACTTGGTTGCGCTGCAATTTTCTTTGTAATCTGATCGTCATTCGCAATTTGTCACCATGTCGATGAGAAAGGAGCTCTTTGATATAGTTGAAAGGCAGGTAGGTTGATCCATGGCTCGCCGCCCCAGGTAGTTAAGGTCATGATCTCTAGTGATTTGATGGAGATTTCACCGCAGATACCTCCAAAGGGTACCGGGATCGAGGATTGTGTAGGGCTCAAGGGCCCCATAGCTCCCACTATTCCGAATGCGCTGGATACCACACGCAGAGCGGCCAATATCTAATTCGTCAATAAATCGGTAGTGTGGAGCAGCAATTCCAATGCAGGGGTTATGAATACCAGAGGCCAAGTCACCCGAAAACATTTATCGTCAGGTATACTAAAAATATTTCAGATTCAAAGATAACCAAAGCAATTTGGAAATCGAACGCATATATTTTATAACATATCTGGGACATGTTACTTGCTTCATCCGCTCTCCTTTCAGCTTCTAAACCCCCCCTCCCCAAAAACACACACACAGACACACACCAATCCACCTCCCACAATGCTCTCTTTTTCCATAGTTCCCAAATGGGGACATCCTTCTAAACAAAAGACGCTCATTTCCCCCGTGCTAAAAACAAACGATCTCCAACATCACCCACACCAGGCTTGATCATACCCTTGCCATCCAATTCCGGGTCCACACCACCCAACCAAACAACCACCCCTTCTGGCCATTCCTCCACTGCGCGCCTTGCTCCCTCTTCACTCGCCAGTACACTAATCACCAACACCTTTTTAACTCCCCATTCTTTCAACGTTTGGATTGCAGCGATACAAGTGCCGCCTGTTGCGATTATTGGATCAAGGATGATGGCAAGAGTAGCTGCGGCTGCGTTTGTGGTGGGGACATCAGCGGAGGGGCTAAATGGAAGGTTATTGTAGTACTCAACGGGCTGTAGAGTAGTGGGTTCACGAAAGAGACCAAGGTGATGTACGGCGGCGGGTGAGGGGAGGAGATCTTGAATCGCTGGTTTTTGGAACAACGTTAGATTGGCATCTTCCATAAAATACAGTCGTGCTTGGTTTCAGGGACCGGTGGAATGTTAATGGGTAGATATACCCTGGACCATGCCTAGACCTGATCTGAGGATTGGGACGAGAGCAATTTTTTCAGGTGCTATGCTCTCTTCTCGATATTCGTATCCAAGTGGGGTTAGGCCCTAGAAATGGAAATAGCTTCAGTGTCAGCCAACTGCTAAAGAAGCCATAAAAAGAGACTTCCTCTCTTCTTCTTCTTCTTCTTCTCCTCCTCCTCCTCCTCCTTCTCCAACCCCCTCTTCCCAACCCTCTTCTATCACATTTCCTCCTAGTCAGGCTTACATACGTTTTCCTTTGGATGCTAGGTATATTAAGAAGAACTAAGTGCTCACCGTACCGCTCGGCGTGACCCGCAAGTTCGCATGTAGGGCCTCGCATCCAAGTATCATAGAAATATCATTGACCAATCTGCTCGTTTGCCTCGAGTCCGCAGTGTTTGAGCGCAGCTGGGAGAGCTTCACGCGCAGACAGGGATGTTGAGAAACGTGGACGTTGGTTGGGAGTGAGGAGGCCATAGTTGTCTTCTCCTGGATGGCTTTGACAGGTATTGGACTACCCGGTTGCTTGCGAGTTAGATGGCGATCTACGAGCTGTGGTATGAAATCTAGAGGTGGTATGAAATTTAGAGAACTGGTGAAGTGTCAACAGCTGACATCAGAGCTGCTTATCTTATCCGTTCAGGTGCAAACGCTGTGTATTGTACTGAAGTTTGTAAGGAAACCGTATTCAGCAGATATTGTCCACTTTTCTCCGTATAAAACGGTGGTACTGATCATACAAGAACCTTTTCTTCCAAAAATACTGCTAACTAGGCTAAAGTAAGGTTAGACATACATATCACGTGTGTTGAAGAAGATGAATATCAACATCGTCATCGAATCAACAATGTATTAAACATTTCTCGACCTCAATTGAGAAAACAGATCAGTGTCCACATATACAGTCCGGATATCTGACGGGGGGAAACAGAGAGGGCCGTGGAGCCCCGGGAAAATTTATTGGCATGTTCCTGCCGTTGTTCATGAACTGTCACTATGAATGACCGAGTCCATTGGGAGCTCCCAGGCTACAATTTTTTACTTGTTTTGTTTTGCGCGAATGCCTGTTCTAAATTTTCTAACTAAAAGGGAGCAAGGATTATTGCTCTTAATCAAGATATCAAGATATCCAATTGAAGCATGGATGACGAAAAATCCAGGGATAACCGTTCCGGCCCTAAGAGCCGAACTCACGCCCAGCAAAAGAGCCGATTCGGCATGGAGTTGTCGCATCACGGGAATTTAGAAGGGGAACGGTCAGGATGGAGAAGAGAGCACCACAGAGAGAATAAGGGGGTGTCTGCAGGCCTCACTAAGCTTTCTATCTCAGATGCCCCTGAAAATGCCGACGATGAGTTGCAAAGAGAATGCACCCGAGAGGAAGAAATTCAAGATACTGAGCGTACCGAATCACTTACCGAACTTGCAGTCCCACCTCCTATAGGTCGTGTACCATCTCATCGGGGTGACTGGGCGGCTCTCGAGAGCGCTGAGTCTAGAGTTACAACACCTGTCCCTAGCGCTGAGAATGTCACTAGGAGCGAAACGAGGTTATCGAAATGTGCTACTCACCTTTATACCATTTCATACCTTGTGTTATTCTCAATTCTAGGTGTGCTTGCACGGATTGGCATGGAGTGGTTGACTTCTTATCCTGGCGCTCCTTTAACTACGGGAGTTACGTGGGCAAATGTGGGAGGCTGTCTCTGCATGGGATTCTTAGCAGAAGATCGAAAGTTGTTTCGTGAGGAATGGGGGCAGTGGAGACCAAAACATTCCAGACGTGAATCTACCAAATCCAATATTGCTTCTAATCGCTCTGCTCGTAAGCATTCCCCACATCCTGTCAGACCTCACAGCCGTCGGTACTTCCACTACCATAGCCACCACCAACGGCAGCAGCAAGAGCAGAATGAACAACATGAGCAACCCGAACGAAAAGAAGAGCAATCAGAGCAGCCCCTAGACCCAGCCCAGTCCCTTGAAAGGCACAAAGCCGTCAAAAAGACCATACCACTCTATATCGGCCTAACAACCGGCTTCTGTGGTTCCTTTACCTCCTTCTCCACCTTCATGCTCGATGTTTTCCTCAGCCTAGCAAACGATCTCCCAATCGCAGGCAGCCCATATAACCCCATCACCCGCAATGGTGGATACAGCTTCATGGCCGTGCTGGCCATAATAATATACACTCTCTCCCTCAGCCTCAGCGCCCTACTCTTCGGCGCCCACCTTGCCATATTCATAGACGAGTATACCCCGATAATCCCCTATCTCTTCACACGCAAGTTCCTCGATCCTCTTGCGGTTTTCCTAGCCTCTGGATGCTGGCTTGGTGCGGCCTTCCTCGCCATCTGGCCACCAGACCGTTCTCTTGGTGTCCACGAGTACTGGCGTGGCAGAGCGGTGTTTGCCATCGTCTTCGCGCCGCTGGGTTGTTTGTTTCGCTTCAATGTGTCTCTCCTGCTCAATGCGCGCATACCTAAGTTTCCCCTCGGAACTTTCGCTGCGAATATCTTTGGGACTATGGTATTGGCTATGTGTTACGATCTGCAGAGAGCTACGAGGGTAGTTGCCTTGTCTTCCGCTTCGTCTTCTTCCTACGCTTCTGCCGCCGCTGCGATTGCTGCGGGGGCAGTTAGTGTCACACGTCTAACGGGCTGCCAGGTGCTACAAGGCGTTATAGATGGGTTCTGCGGGTGTGCGACAACGGTAAGTACTTGGGTGGCGGAGCTGGATAGTCTTGAGCATGAACATGCGTACTTTTATGGCCTGGTTACTGTCGCTGTTGCACTGGGAGTTTTGGTTATTACCATTGGTTTGTTGAAGTGGACAGTTGGTTTTGGACTTGCGGTTTGTTAAAATATGGGTTTTATTGCCTATAGACATATCGTCGTAGCTGGCTGATAAAAAGATCTCCTAAATTGCCGTTATTGAATCTGCCTGGCGGGCATGATGTCATCATATACAGACGAATAACGTGAGACCCCTTTCGACCCCTCCTCATGCATCTTAAAATACAGCCCTCAAAAAGGCGGAACCAACAAAATAACCAAAAACCAATTCATACCCAGTCCAAACGCCAGTTCCCAAATCCCCCGCATCCATACACCTTGTCATAAGGCTCATAACATCAAACCCAAACCACTCAAATACAACCAACCCACCTCCGAATCAAGGTCAAGACACATCACAACAACCAATGCATGAGCCCCGCCTTGCTTAAACAATCAACCCTTCCGTCGTATCCCCAAACCCAAACCCATTCTCACTCGTGCCGTTTCGGGTCGACCGATCTGGTCTCTCACCAACGGCTCCCGAAACAGACAGTTCCGTCCCTCGACCAATCTCGTCATAACCGTCACCACCTTCCAGGCCCTGCTGCTGTTCTTTCTCCGCTCTCCGGAGGCGTTCTTGAACGGCAAGGGCCTCGCGACGGTTGGCTTCTTTTGCATTGATGCGCTTTTGGGCAGCTGTGTTTTCGTTAGTTTGCAGAATGGTAGAGGTGACGGGATGTGTGGCATTGACTTTATTTATTTTTAATTTTTTATTTTATTGTGTAATTCAAGATGAGGTGAGGGTTGAGGTGAGATGATATAAGCGTTGCACCTACCCTGCCAGAAATATGAGTAGAGCAGCATTGTCACAAGCGACAGAGCTATGAAGCCGAACATAATGCCCAATTCTCGTGCCATGGATGGCACGGGCATGTAGGGTATAGGTTCAACATCTCCAGGCTTTGCAGAGCTGCGTGGTCCAGGATAGTCGTTCATTTTGTATATAAGTCCTCTTTCTCCTTTTTCGTTTATTTCTCTTTGCAGTGATTCTTCGTGTAATAAGTCTGATTTCTCGCCACCCGTCTTGCGTATATGGGAAGATCAAAATCCCTTTTCCACATAAAATTTTAAGAATAGTCAGTAAAACGGTGGCAGACGGAGGATAAACTGGTCGTAAACTGGTCGTAAACTGGTCGTAACATCCAAAAAAAAATAATAATAAATAAATAAATAAATAAATAAATAAATAAATAAATAAATAAATAAATAAAAAAATAAAAAATACCGGAAATCTGCGCAACTAGACCTTATTAGCTCGAGATGCAAAAACGTTCGTTATTACCATGCACGCAAGAAGAATGGTAATAAATAGGGGACTGGGTATTTTAAGGCCGTGTGCTCTCTTCTGTTTGCAAACAAAGAAACCAGAGATGATTAGGCTCTAAGCTTAGATGCCCCGTCAAACTTAAAATGCATAATCGTCCCATGGGAATAGAAAGGGCTCCCATGGCTTGATGAATGCGGAATCCAAATGCTGCTAAAGAGCCCAATTGAGAAAAGAATAGCTCTTCCATACCCTAATCCGGTGGTATGTTTAAACCTCCTTTGGCTTCAATCACTATTCCTGCTTTTGTTGTTGCTCTGCTGATTTTCCCGAACCTGAAATAGTTTCGAATTTTATCGATCGTGTGGAGGATGAAAGATAGGTGTATCTTTTAAATAATATTCAGCCAGTGGTTCCTCGCTTTCTGCCCGTCTTTTGCTTCAAGACAACCCTTGTCTGCGAAAAAGTAGCCCGGATCTTGCGCTGGCCAAAGGAAGAGATGATGGTAATGCAACGGTTTTGGCTGCGCAAGACGGGAGATGTTTCGTTTGTGGATCGAAAGATGACAGTTTGTCTGCAGTGGATAGAGGGCAACGCTGGTGAGGATGATGATGATGATAATTATTGATCTCTGATGGGCGCAACACAACCTGGAGACGCGATGGACGTCGGGATCTGCGGGACCCGGAGTGGATTGAGTCAGCAAGCCCTAATCACATAGTAAAACTGTCGGTACCTTTTTAGCTTCTTAGCCCCGCAGTTTCCGACAGCGAATATTTCTCGCAATAACAATAATAACCTTGGAAGTCCACTACTGGAGAAATATCGGGATGAGCAGATAAATGAAAAACGGTGGGGATGGAATCCGGAGCGCAATTCCAGCAGCTGCAAGGTTTGTTTCATGGGTTGTCTCGGGTTTGCCGCACAAAGGACATAGCCGTGGTAACTACCTGGGAACCAAGGTAACTTGCTCGTGGGAAAGCCATTGATGAACGACCTTCATGGGATACAAGTTTTCACAGCTGAGGCGCAGTTCTACAGATGGGGCTAAATACTTAGGTAAATATATACCTTTCTAGCAGATCTCGAATAGCACATAATAATGCTGTGGTTTAATATGGAATTTCCCCCCCCCCCCCCCCAAGCAGTAAGAACAAACCTCCTAGATAACAACTCATTATAGCAGTTCAATACTATCCCAGAGGGCCTCAACAAGTCACAGTCTTGAGCTCTGAATCGATCGATCGAGCTCCATATTCACCTGCTGTGCGTATCTGGTTCTGTGGGAAATTGGGGACAAATGTCCGCCCGCCGCGATCCTGACAGATCTGCAGAGTCAAACCTATTTTATGGCCCAGCCCGGGACCCAGCTCAACGGGATCGACATAGGGCCAACCTGAGGTATTTTAGTCCGGCATAGAGATGCTGCAGCATATGAACAACAGTTGATTGTGGGTTGGTGAAGAGCAGTTTAGCTGAAAGCGAGGCCATCTCATGATGTTGCTAGATTTAAATATAATGAACGAAATATTCCGAGAACGAAATGCCCAGGAAAACAAACGGACCAGCACGTCTGAATCGCGGCGGAAGATATCATTGAAAACTTCTTTTTAACTGGGGGGGGGGGGGTTGTGCTTCTTTTCTTCTACCACTTTACTCTGAATTTTGTACAGTCGTCTTGAGCGCCACGTGCAGCAATCGGCATAAGGACAGGCTGATGATTGGCTGCGGCGGCCATTGTACAAACTCGGTAGAAGCCCGGCTTCTCAAGACCTTTGTCCAGCGTCGCGGAGAGAATCCCATCTCCATCAGCCTTGTTTCTAATGCCCTTGAACCATATCGGATTGCTCGCATTGAGAGGTGTCTGCGGGTTGATTTTGTCTCCCAAAAACTGGACCGTGACATGTAGGTGACCTTCAATGAGGCCTTTTTCATTTACGAGCTGTGGTGCTGCGAAATATGTCTCAGCGGGATTTGTGAAGTAACCTGTTGCAAGGTTTGTAACCCGGATCCTGAATTCGATTGGTTTGTTGACTTTGACGATGTCATCTGGGGCGGGACTCAGGACGATGGAGGAAACCATATTGTCGATCGATGGAATGGCACCCATAGCTGATAATAACATTAGTATATGAGGGTCATGGCCGATATTCTCAGCATCCAAGGATGGTTGAGTAACACTTACGAATGCCGTTGCAGGATCCTCCCTTGATCTGCAGTCCGTTCGTTCGGGGACCCCGTGGGGCGCAAAAATTGATGTGGTTGTTCTGCGCCCTGTTCGCCAGTTAGATGCCTCCCTGGAAATCTCCACAAAACCATCCAACTTCCATACCTAAATAGGTACTCCGTATATTGCAGCTAAATATGCAATGGGGTACTTACATTCGAGAACACGCGTATCCCTCACTCTTCTTTTCGGGGCTCCATCCGTTTGATCGACTTGCATTTTGAATAGACCTTTGAGATAGCAGAAGAGTTTTTTCACTCTCCAATAATCTTTTACCGTTGGTATAGCCTGGGCAACTCGGATGGTCCTCTTTGGTTTGCCCTGACACATTGCCAAATAAACAGGCTGCGGAAGCCAAAAGTGATATAAAGATCCTCAAATTCATCCTGTCCACAATCCAGCTGTAGCTGCACAACCAGTGAATAGTGAAGATGAATGGCAGAGCAGTCTGTACATATACGGCCTTTGTTAAAATGAGGGACCCTGTCAGGGGTGGGTAGTAAGCTGACAACGCATATTTGTTGTGCACGGTGGTGCATTCTTAAAATATAACGCTAACTAGTACTTAGTTGAACTTTGTTAAGAGAAGTATTTAAAAGCTCAGATATCGACAAAGGGAAATCGGAGCCCGAAATAGCAGCAAAAATCCCAGACGTAATGTTCTTAGAGAATGCAATGTGGTAGGCATCCCCCAAGATATGATGGTTGCTTGGACTGGACTTAGTTCTCGCCCGCAGCGGATGGGGGCGTTCAATAGCATCTAGATTTTCAATGCAAGTTATTGGGTGCCATGATTGCCTTTTAGACAAAAGAATTTTGTGGTCCAGTAACTAACAGTGGTAAGTGAGACTTAGAGTTAGTTACTGCATCCCAAACTCTTCGAGGGTTAGACTGTATCCTGCAAAAACTGGTCAACTTCTGCAACCAAACCGCCATGTTGTCTATCACAACGCCACATAACGTGGATGCTGATGACAGCCCTCTGAAAAACACCTTCTGAATAACCAGATACAGCACCAAATATACCACCAAGTGTGCTAAAAACACAATCCTCAGGCATTCAACACAAGGTTAAGCAAAAAGGTTATGAAGTACTCTCTCTTGCTCAATCTTTTTACATATGTGCAGAACTTGGTTGTCTGGTTAAGTTTGAACACGGCCTGTAATGAAGGAAATGCAACCCCTCCTTGCGTGCAGCTTGCCCGATGACATGACGGCGGGGCACGGGTAGATGGGGGGTGTAACCCCTATTTGAATACGGATAGTTTCTTGATTTCAGATAGACGGCCATTGCCGGAGAAGCTTGAGTTGGCTTAGGTACAGGGCTCGTGGTGGATTCCCAACGATTACTCGCGAGTCTGGCTGCGGGGTTAAATTCGAGGATGCTCTCTACGCATGCGGTAGTTTCGTGCCAGTCCTCTGTACCATAATATCTCCTGTCCCCTCCCGTGAGCAGGCACTCCAAACCGAACACGGCTAATTAGCAATAGAACCGGTGCTACTCTCCCTTTAACCTATAGCGGAGATCGTTATCCAAATATCTTGGTCTCACGCCCTTTCTCTGGGGGGGGGGGGATAACCGTGAGGGCCCGCTGGCAATAGAGGCAAAAGAAAATTCTCGGTCTCGGCAAAACGAGAAAATGTTGAAAACCCTTGCGACCATTTTAATTAGCATTGCCAGCAAGTCTCCAGGTTAACAGGGGTTTTTGTAAGATGAAATGCATGTTCATTACATTCAAAAAATATTCAATTCTTAAATCCGGTCATCCGCCGAAAAAAAAAAAAAAAAAGAACTGACATAAACAGTTCATGAAGAACAAAGGAAAGAAAGGAGAAAAGCAAGCTATGCATGAATAAAACAGTTGGATTCAGTCCAATCTTGCATGCTTGGCTACCACCACTGTTGATGCCAACATGCAATAAAAGATATCCATGAATATCAACAGACTGACGAACCTCAGCGAATATGAGCAAACTGCTCTGGACTGGGATACAGTTGAACGATTCTCCAGAATACATGAAGTTGGTTCGAATTGCTTGGAGTCTGTCTCGTTTACTCTTTGTGGGACCGGATTCCTTGTTGCCACCCAAGAAGGAGAGTTGAAGCAGCAATTGATTCTCCTTCTGATTTGGCAGTTCGTCTCGGGGTGGGCAGTTCATAAATATTTACAGAGGTTTGCAATCGGCGGTTGGCCAGGAAACAAGTGCTTTGTGATCCATTTTTATTGGTCCGTAGTTTAATTAAGAATGGCGCTAGTAAAATCATATCCATGGGTTATTTTAGCTTGGCGCGGAACGCTTAATCTAACCCATTAAGGTTTGGCAGGAGTATAGACTCAGAGAATTAGATGTTTGTAATCGATATGAAAGGGGATAATGAGAGAGGTAACTCGGGTTTATAGACTTGAGTGATGTCCATGAAGCATATATATATATATATATGTGTGTGTGTGTGTGTGTGTGTGTGTGTGTGTGTGTGTGTGTGTGTGTGTGTGTTGGTTCGAAAAACCCGTCATGTTTTCCTTCGCGATAATATATAGTTAGAGAACTTTACAGATCAAGACAACTACGGATATTCATTTCACATCCAATGCACCAATGCACCAAACTCTCATTTGAAATATTGTTACATGCTATCAAAGCCCAAGCAACACCTCCCAATCTGGCGTCACCACAAATTTCCCGGTAACTTGCGACATCGCCCATACCAGCGTCTCCCTTGGCTCCTCCAAAGAAGTCCCATCATCCTCCCCAGACACCTTGGGATTCCCCTCCGACGCCACAATCGCATCCTGAAGGAAATCCACGTCACTCCCCTTCGTCAGATCAAAGCTGATCCCGCCCCAGTCTATTGTTGCCCTCCCGGACTGGTGGATGTTTAGCTTGCCCACCCGGCCGGGTGGGAGGGAGGAGTTGACCGCTGTAATAAATTGGGAAACGCCGTTGGTATTGTTGTTGATAACCGAGGTAGGTTTAAGGATGGCGAGGTTGTCTGTGTCTTCTTTTTTAATCGAGGGTATGGCTGGATTCTGGGTGGTAGTTGTTTGTGCACCGGTTTCAACTACATCTTGGTCCATCGCATCTGCAGCTGGTGTTTGCGCAATAAGATTGGGTGTCATGGGCGGAAATTGGATGAGGAAAAGCCGCCCAGAGCGCTCATCCTTCGGAGCCTCAAGAGCTTTATCCTCATCTTCCCGGCCAGCTGCTTCCTCTCCTTCCGCCGGTTTATCGTGGGTGGTTATTGTTCCCAACGTCTGCTTGATATGTTCTATATCCTGCTCGTGAAGGTCCCACTCTTGCCGTTCTTCTTCCGTCTGCAGTTTGCTTCTCGGATCCTGGATAGCGACCCTCTTCTTCTTCTTCTTCTTCTTCTTCTTTTCCTTCTTCTTTGTTTTTGGTTTTGGGGGAGCGGGTGTTAAAGCGCTGTCGCCCGTGGCTTGCGGTAGAGTGTCGACCATAAGCACATCCCCATCCTCCGTAGGCTCCTGTTTAATTCGCACTTCGCTCTGCGCTGCACGGCCAAGAGCGTTCTCCGAAGTAATTTCAACTTCCTCTTCACTCTCAATTACACTCTCTGCGTCTTCATCCTCACTATCCTGCACAAACAAGCTCTCATCCCCTCCATGCTTCTCCTTTGCCTTTGCCTGCCTCCTCAGCTCCGCTGACTTATGCAAGCTCGAATCCGTGTTAACACCAACAGACCTCTCCTGGTGTTCCTGTCTCTCAACCCGAATAGGCCTCAACCCTCTCCCCAGTCCCCCAGACAGAGACCCCTTGGCCGGCATTTTCCTCTTCCCCTCCTCTAGCTCCACATTATCTTCCCACCCCGCTTCCTCCTCTTCATCACTGATAATATTAATCTGCTCAATGCTAAACCTCGGCCCCCCACCGCTCTCCTCATCTGACGAAACATCTCTACTTTCTCCCTTTCCACCCTCCTCACTCTTAGCTGTGACAAGCCCATGTGCCCTCTCGGCTCCCGATCGACCGCCATTGCCAAACTTCATTCTACCCCCTCCACGACCCCACGTCGAGATGCCCGATCCTAACAGTCCCGAGCCATCTCCACCAGAAATCACCCCTCCCCTCACAAGCCAAATTGTACTCCCCATCGCCCTCACTCTCCACAAATCCCCACTCCTAGCCCTAGAATCCGCACTCCGCATCGCAGACAGGGGAGAGGAGGAAAAAATATAAACAAATTCATGAGAGCCACTGAGAAATAGTGTTTATATTCGTTCACTTCCTCGCCACCGCCACGTGGCTGATAGCGCAGTGTCGGCTTGGGTGCCGTGCCGTCCGGATTTAGGGGAACGAGGGAGCCGGTTGGTGCACGCTTCTTGAGCGATTGGAGGCGTTGGACGCCGCCGCGGGTTGTTGGTGTGGCGCTGGCTGAAGGTGCATTTCGAGAACGCGGTTCACTGAGACTGGGGCTTATTGGGGGATTGTTCGGGTTTGTGGTTGTGTTTGAAGGGCCTGAAGTGGGTGTGGCAGAGGAACTGTCGGTGGGACCGGCGGTGCGGCGCGAGGAGGCAGCGGGTCGCCCGCGAGCGTTGGTGGACTTTGGAGGCATGGCTATGTCTGTGGGGGATGGTAGAAACCGCGCGAGTGGTGCGCTTGTTTCAATTGCTTGCTTTGTAAATTTGATATTTTGGGGTGGTGAGAATGCTCTGTACTATTGCCTGCCGTGTTGGTCATCGATGATGGCGCATGATTGGGGTGAGTCTTATTCGCACTGGGCAATTTTCAATATGATGGAATTAAGGATTATAAAGGTGCATCCATCACTGCATTAATTAAGGAGAACAGGGGGGATATGGCAATGAGCAAAGTATTTAGAGATGAGAAGTGCAATTCGTCGTCGGACGTTGCTGTAATCTTCCATCCATTCGGTGTCTCGATAATCATTTCTTTGGGGATCTGAGAGCTGCCTCGGAGTTTCATTATTCCGCCATTCAACAATTAAAATTACCACTAGGATAACTATGGTTTAGCTTGTTTCAATCCAAAAGCCTGCAGGAACCCCCGCTTTCCCAATGGAGCGAAACCACTGAAGAGCTAAACTATCAAATCACGTAGTCGGTCAGTTTATTGTTCAAAGGATATGCTTTGTCCGGTCCGCAGAATGAAGCAAGTCATATATGTAAGTAAAATTCTTATTTTGCTACCTAGGTAAATAAGAATACAGACGCAGGTAAAAACACAGTACTAACTTTAAAAAAAGCAAAATCGCGGAAAGGAAAAAGAAACATTACAAAGAGAAAAAGTTGAGATAAAAAGGGAGTGAACAATAAAAGAGACATGTACTGCGTGCAATTTAATTTCAAACAAATGAATTGCCAATACAGGAAGAAAAGGAGATAGGGATAAGTGAGAGGAATTCGAGAGATAATATATGTGTATGTAACATCCTTATGGCAAAGAACAACGTAGCAAGGAGCAGGGGAATAGGGTGACTGGATTATATCTCTCTTCGGCGTAGAGATGACTGATGCAGGGAGAATGGGAGTGGGTTGATGGGGCTTTTGTCTTGTCCTCTCCTGTCGCAGGTAATTTGTTTTCAATATCCTTCTCTCATGTACAGAAATTGTCTCTCTGTTGAATTTTGCACAATTGCTTTTGGTGCTGCGGGCCAATTTCAAACACACAGTCCAACATCCCACGGTCAAGGATAAGTGTTGCGCCGTGATGTAATAGACAAGGCAGTGCTCACAAACCTGACTGGTCATGAATGCCTGGCGTACACTGCCTCAGTAGATCAAAGATCAACACAGAAAAAGGACAAAAGGAGAGAGGGGAAAGGGTGGGCAACAACAAAGAAGAAGAAGAAGAAGAAAAAAAAAAAAAAAGAAAACAAGATACACAAAGTAAAATTCAAACATTTAAACACTAAAATCAAGTGGAAAACCCCTCGAAAGCAAATATAACCATGATAAACATTTGCACGCAGAAATTCAAAACTCCCGTCATTCACTCAAGGAAATAATCGCTCGCTAAAAGAGAGAGAGAGAGAGAGAGAAAGAAATATAGATATGTCCGTTGCACAAGAAGAGAAAAGACCAATGGAAACGAAGAAATAGGTGTGGGAAGAAAGAGTTACGAAAGGTATTGAATATGAACGGAGGTTCCAGATGGGAGACTTGGGTGAGATAAAACGCGCAAGCAAGTTACGTATGATGAAACGAGCAAAAGTGTCGATAGCATTCGTGGGGTTCAAGTTCTTGAAACGGGAGGAAATTCGTGGAAAAATAAATACAGAGGACGTTAACTCCTGCGAAGAGTCCCCTAGTAGGCTTTGTAATAGTTCTTAATGAGGAGAAAGAATCAAAAGGCCATCAGGGGGGGGGGGGGGGGGGGAAATAAAAATAAAATAACAACGCCGGCAGGGTTTGACGGAAATTTGTTTGCCGGGAAAGGGAAAGGGGAATAAACCGGGGGATGCTGGTGGGGGTTTGGGGGGGCC